GTATGGTATTATATTGTGGTTTAAATTTGATAACCTTAAAAACTAATGGAATTGAAAATTTTTTATACCTTCTTTCATTTCTTAGTTTTAGTGTTTACTTCTGTACATTTTCCAGCTTCTTACTCAGATCCATGAATTCATCAGACTTGTGACATTTAAATATGATAGTTTCATAGCTGAAATTAACTCTTAATCTTTTAGATATTTGGATTATTTGAACTATTTGTCTTTCTAGATATCTCAAGCTAACATCAAAACTAGAAAGATGAAAAAAATGCAGGGTGTAGAATAAGGAACGCAGGAAGTGTAGTCATTAGGTCTAGCTGAGTCTTTTCATGATCAGTTAGTGCTATATATTTATTTTATTTATAAATGGCAGTGTACAGTAACCTTAACAAACTATTCACTTCATAAAGGAGATTTGATTGTTCTAAACTCATTACTCCACAGATTTTTTTTAAATGATGGCAGATTCAATGTCAGCCACATTTACTTCTAGCCTGATGTCCTAGTTAGATAGACATTTAACTGAACACATTGTGTGACTGTATGAAATAGTTAACTTTCTGGATTTTCATTTTCTTTCCCATTAAATAAAAATGATCACTCAACAACATTTTTACTTGGTAATCCTCTCATGCTTAGATTATATTCCCATGGAAATATTCTAAAAACAGCTTGAACTCAGGCTCTTGCCCTTGCTAGGCAAGCGCTTATTCTGCTGAGCCGCGTACCCAGCCCCGACGCCGCTGTTGAGTGCTCAGTGTCTTGTGGACTGCAGTGTCTCTTCCGCAGACAGCCCTTCAACTGAAGCTCCTCCTCCCTCCAGCAGTCTGGCACAGCCTGCTGCGTCGCAGCGCTTTATTTCTCTTCTTGTTAACCTCACACTTTATTATTTTATTTACTCGCGCTCCCACTCTTGCATGTGCTAATGTTTGATGTGCCCTTTCTGCGAGGCTAAAATCTCAATCGGACACCAAAGCTTCCTCTTACTGTGCTTTCCCAAGCGCGCATCACAATGTCTAGTGCGTAGGAGAAAAATGAAAGCTGTTTTGTTCTATTCAATTGAATTATTGATTAGCCCTCTCACCCTGGGACTCTGCAAGGTTAAGACACTCACTGCCCAGCCATACTGTGAGGTTTCTCAGGTGAGCGGTCTCTCCGGAGAGACTCAATTAGTACGGCTTCTCACCCCTCACTCTGGAACATTCAGACTGGTTTTAGGGAGTAGAGCAGAGGTCAGTTCTCCTTAACTAGACCTGTAGGGGGCCAAGGAGATAGCTTGGAGGTCTGAGCGCCTGCCTTGCAAGCTCAAAGACTCGGGTTCTATGCTCGGTACCACATGCTTTGCTGGCACCATGCCAAGCCAGCCAGCAGAACTGGGTGTGGTGGCACACGCCTGTAATCCCAGCGCTGGGGAGGCTGAGACAGCAGGATCACTAGGAGTCCGAGCTGTAGTGAGACCCTGTACCAAATAAACAAACAAACTAGACCTGTTAGTTGGTAACCTCTGCCGCCCCAGAGATGGAGTTTGCCCTCACTTATTATGTGAATGTGGCCGGGATTTGGAAATTGAAAGAGCCAAAGTGTCAGAGATGGAAACACGGCACGCAGAGAAGCGAGGAGCAGAATACACTACACGGGATGTGAGTGGAGGAAGGAAAGAGGTCTACAGGGCATCCGGAGGGCAGACAGAAAAGAGCAGTAAGCAGGGACTTCATCCTGCAGGCAGGCAGTGGAGGGAGCTTTAAGAAGCCGGGCCTGGCAGCAGGAGGTGGTGGGTGGGTTCAGGGAAAAACCGGAAGCAGAGAGATCCACTGGGAAGCACTGGCCAGGCCCAGCAGTGGAGTGGCGAGACTCAGCTGCTGGCGTGGAGAAGTGCTCAGAAGTGCTCAGTAAAAGGATGTGGGCCTTGTAGGTGGAAAGGAGCAAGCAGGCCAAAGCCATTAAGGAATGTCCCACTAAAGCCAGCCGCTGCGTGCTGAGCAGTGACAGCTGGCAGCGGAGGAGCAGGCAGGAGGGACAGGGACCAGTGTGGGAGCGGTGGAGGCTGCGGACAATGCATGGAGCCCTGCCGTGAAGAGTGACTTCTGCAGCCCCGCTGGACTTTGCTGGTGTGTCCCTGCTCACTAGGTGTGGAAAGCCCCAGAGTGACAAGAGGGTACAATGGAAGGAAGGCAAAGTGTGCCAGGTAGGGTGACTGACATGGCTATGATATTGAATATCTCGGGACAGCTCCTTGCCTTCCAGTTAGCCCTGGAGAGGGAGGGGTTCAGAGACCTGAAATGGTGCTGAGGTGACGTCCAGGAAAGGCTCAGCGCGTTTGCAGATCTCTCTCCTCTCTGGAGCATGCCAGGTAGAGGGAGTGGAGGTGAGGCATGATCCCTGGGAAAGCTGCCCTTCACCCGATTAGCTTGTCGGAGCCTCACCTCACACATGGGATCTGTGGGGATCGAAACACCCACCGTGGAGGGTTTGGTGTCTTTGTTAGGTGTCGGGGAACATCTGTGCTAGAGACAGAAAAACTGGGTTGGGATAATCACCTTTCCACCACTTGCTGTCCACGTTAGACTGTTGGTTCCACATTCATTCAAACCTCAGCTTCTCTGTCTTGTAAGTGGGAGTGAGGACATCCTGGTGCGCCTTGGGTTGCCGGGCTGAGTAGCTGGGATGACACACAGCCGGCATCGTTTGCTCTCCTCTTTCGTCTCTTCCTCTTAAGGAAACAGGTCTGTCAGAGGGGATTCGTAATTAGATCTGTAGGATCAGTCTCTTGGATTTCAAAGCTAGTTTTCTCCCCACTCATTCATTTTGTCATACAAGCCCCTGTGTGGAGTGGCCCGCGTGCTCCTCTAGTGCCAGGCCTTCCCCTGCTGAGCTCTTGGACTCCTCAGCCTGCAAGGAGGTGGTGAGACTGCGTCTGAGTCCACACATAATCGTTAATCCCATCCTAAGAGGCAAGGGTGGAGCTAGTCCTGCTGGAAGAAAAATAACTGCTGGCCACCACAGGCCCAGCATTTAAGGAGAGGTAAACACAGTCCACAAGACGTCCATGGAAAGGCAGAGGTGGCAAGTGAACAGCAGCATGGATGTGGGTGCTCGGTCGGGCTCTGGGGAATGGATGGATGAAGGCTTGGGCAAGGGCAGCGTAAGGAAAGCCACGGCGCGGCAGGATGGTGTGAGTGTGTGCGTGCATAAAGGCGGGCTACAGAGGAGGGAGAGCAGAAGTGGGCAGCCGGGAGGGATGCGAGTGCGGCCCGTGCCAGCCGGCAGGGCACTAGGCGCCACCAGTGACTTTGGAGCTTATGAAATTGATGATGGCTTGTGCCGTCCTACTGATACTGGAATTCGATTATCTTTCTGGCACTTGTGCCTGTAAAGTGGCCACCCCATGACTGAGGTGTGGCTGAGGTGGGACTGTTCTCCATTGCCTCGGAGGAGGGAGGGGCAGTTTGAGCTACATGCACGAACTAATGGTATTTAATGGCTATTAAGACTTGAGGACAGTAGAGGAAGTAGGAACCAAGCCAGGTACAGTGGCATACATCTGGAACCTCAGCGCTCTAGGGGGCTGAGGCAGCAGGATCACAAGTTCAAGCCCAGGCTGGACAACTCAGTGACTTAGCAAGATCCTATCTGAAGATAAATAAAGCATCTTGGGCCTTAGGGACATAGCACAAATGTCTCAATACT